AATGTGAGGCTCTTGAATTCCCCTGTTTTCTATGCTCAATTAGAGGTATATATATATTAAATTTCAAATGGTCAACAAATCAAATTTCGCTAACAATTACTTCTGCTCATGTTTGTTCTGGATTGGTTCTCCAATTCCAAGTATGGTTTTGGCTTCTTGAAGAATCTCTTAGAATACATCACTTATTAAGAACAAATGGAAACACTATATCCCAGATTCCACTTTCCTAAGGGAACCACTGCACACAGGTTGATAAGCACATTTGTTTAAATACTATAAAAGTGATACACAGTTATTCAAGGGCAAAGATGTTATTTATTTAGATTTAATTACATCTCATCAATATACTCTCCATATTCCTCAGCACAATGCTAAACACAAACATGTATGCATGCACACAGAACAGTAAACATTTCCATTTCTTTTTTTCAAATCCATCCTGCTTACACTGTATATGGAGTTGGTGCCGTGAATTCTTGACTCAACTTTGGACAACAGACCATTTTCAGTAGCACTAGCACAGGAAGCATGACAATTTTTATGAGTTAACTGCATAGCATTCCTTTATGGTTGATCAAATCCTAAGATCAAATCCATCTTGAAAAGAATCACTAAGTGGAGCAAATACATAGCAGTTAAGAAATGGTATGTGTAAGTCAAGAAGCTCAGTGAATGGGCCTAAGGATCCAGCTCAGAGGTGCAGCACTTGCCTAGCATGCGTGAGGCCCTGGGTTTCATCTCCAGCACTGCTAAAATAAAATTTAAAAAAATAATAGAATAGAATGAAATAAAATAAAATGAAAAAAGAGGTTCAGAATAAATATTTCTTCTGTGTTTGACCTACTACATTTTGCTCTATTTAGTAGACACATTATTAAGCACACGTTGGCACACGTTACAGGTTGTCAGGACTTACTGGTATGAATTTTGACTTATACAATATATGTAGACTACCTTTCCAGCTTGAGTTGTTTCCTTCTATCATTGGTTTTTGTTTGTTTTGTTTTTTGAGACAGTCTCGCTGTGTAGTTCCCTTCTATTATTGTTTTTTCAGGTCTTATATCACAAACCTCATCACGTGTCATTAAATACGTTTCAGAAAGAATAATTTTCTGTTAAGCAGAATATAGAAATAGCATTCTGTTTGCACAAAAATTAAAAGCAAAGCCTTTAAAATTTGCATATAGAGATAAGTATGCAAATTTTTAAAGAAAAATACATCTTGTATTTTCTGTTATGTATTGGGATGGTGGTGTTTTTGTGATTTTGCAAAAAATTCACTTGATCCTCAGTACACAAAAAATTCAGAAGTCACCTTTTCTCATTTTCAATTTTCAAGACTTTAGACAAGAGTAAGTTAAAATTTGAAGGCAAGCCATTGGAAGCATCACTCTAGATGGTCACACCGTTATTTGCTTGATTTCAAGGTTTCTGCCCACTTTCTTTGTAGCTATTTATTTTTGTGGATCCATGTTTACATGTTCAACTTGAATTAATCATGTATGTAAAAAGTAGAGTAAGACTTTGTTGTTGCTGTTTTATTTTTTCCTGTATTTACACTTTGTTTTTCATCCCTAGGGTCAAAGTATGGACCTCTTCCCTGATGAGGACTTGGAGAATGGATTTCAATCTTCCCAAAGGTTTAAGAAGACTACCTGCTATAGCTGAACTGGAAAAATGGCCCCTCTGCCCTTTCCCACCACCAGTTTTGCAAAAGAAGCCTCAATGATCCTCTTTGGCTCCATGGCGCTCTCCTTTCCTGTGGAGTGTGGCTGTGTGATCACTAAGAAGCAAGGAGAGAGAACACTTGCTACCAAGCTTCAAGGAATCATCTTCCTTAGGGGAAAGTCAGCAACTAAAAAACCCATTTCTGTCCCCTATAAAAGCCGAGATAAGAGCAGGTCCCTCTAACTGAGCATGCATCTTCACACTGGGCCCTAGAAAAAGGCTACCCCGCTGATGTAGTTGTTACCTCCTGGGCTCAGAAAATACCTCCATGCTTTCTCCATCCTTGGTCCCTTTTTTGTGAGTATCTCTCTACTGATGTTCTGGAATTTATTGGCTTGGCACACTGGCACATTCTCCTTCTCATCAGGCCTTACTTGCTCTAAGCAATGAGCCACTAGGCTTCTGGGTGAACCTGACACCTCCATAAAGCACATCGCTTACTGATAGATACCACTTTGGAACAAGACTCCATTCCTTCACCCTGACTCTCTAACACTGCTGACACCTGGTGCTAGTCCACCATCTCATTGTCCAAAAGGCAGAGGTAGGAGTCTCATGGCCAGATCCCTCCCAAACAGGATTGGAGGGACCTGTTCCACCCCTGTCTTTATTGGGTAGGTATCTGAGCCCTCCTACTTCGTGAACTTGACCTACCTGGAAGCTGTCCATTCAGTCCTGCCAGCTCCCCACCCTCCCACCAGTTTCTTCCCTTGGATCCTGCCTTTGTACAGACCTCCCAGTTTAAGGGAAGAAAACCTGCTTAGGGTCAAGGTCCATTCAACTTCACAAAAGGCCCAACCCTTCTCAACCAGTAACCCTCAATGGGATTCTCATTCAAGACTTGGGGTTTTGTCAAACTACTTCCTCTTGATGGCAGTATTGTTCAGGAAAAGTGGATTAGCCCTTGCCTCCCAGGCCTATGTTCTCCCGCCCATTCAATCTGAAAAAAAGCCACCATGAGACAAAGGAGCCAGGAAACAGATCAGCCTAGCTATTTGCACTATTTGGGGGAAAATCTATTGTTGTAATCACTTTTACTTCTGCTTTCCCTCGGAAATCAAACTGAGGCCTATATTACCCAGTTTCATTAGTTAGTTACACTTTGATTTCATGAATTCCACTTTTACTCTACCCATGCCTTACAGATCTGCTCTTCAGTCAGCCTTGATTCCCAAAATTTTCCCACGTTTTTTTGCTTCCTGAGGAATTCTCAGCAATTTAGGGCTGAGAAAGTGACCAAAACAAGGAAATAAGGGCCTGGGAAACTGCAAATCTAGGCACCAGGTCAGGTGACTTGTCCTACTGCCAGATTCCCTGGGAGGCCTCCATTTTCTGACCTGGACCTTTGTCCTTAGTCGTGGCTAGAACCACAAGAGGAGGTCCAACTAGCTCTCACATCCAAATCCCGCAGTATATCCCTTTTGGGAATGACAAAAATAGTGGAACTTGTATGATTTCTAGTCAAAAGGGACATGAGTTTGTACCACAGTTTCATCATTTAATGCTGGCACATAAGTATATTCCTTCCCTTTGTGCATGCCCTTAATGGCTTCCTATGATTTTGTTACATATGTGGGTACTACTCATTCATTAAATCTTTGGAGACAGTCTTACAGTGTTTTCTCATGAGCAAACCAGTGCTTACAAAGAACTCAGAAAATTACCACATGTTGATCATAAGTAAAAGTGCTGTCATTAAACCTCCCATTGAGCACTAATAACCCTTGGCATATTTACTCCCATTCTTTCAATATACATATAGTTCTACAGTTATGGTGATACACTACAACAAATTTACAATTAAATTGGATTCATTTATACATCACATTTTAAGTCCAGCATTTTTCGTTTCTGATTCCTGAGTAGATTGAAATCATCCTGAAACATTTGCAAAACCTGAATTTTAGACAGTAAAACATGCCCAAAGAGCTTCTTGCGTGACCCATTCATTAAACAGTGGAGTCTTAATGTTTTTCAATGTACACACAGGACACAAATACCTACAATTCTACTATTCAAGAATCTTAATATTGAGGCCTACCTTACCTAAACATTGTTATGGTGACATATAATAACAAAACAGACACTCCAAACTAATACTTCAGAATATTAAGGATTTTTTAAAATACACTTTTAGAATTTACATTAAATTTTACCTTAAATTTTAAAAAAACTATGGAGCAAACAGAATTCAATAAATGAAGATGAAATTGTTATTCTCTTCAAAATTGTTAAGAGATTTCAAGGGTTCTCACATACATGCAAAAAAAAAAATGTTAACCTCATTATGAGGGGATTGATATGTTAATTAGCTTGACTGTGGTAATCACAATGTAAGGAAGTAGCAAAATATGTTGTTGCACACCCTAAATATACTCAATTTTCATTTGTCAATTGTACTTTAATATAACTGGAAAAAGTATACTGGTCTGGAAATTAAATAGTCATCCTATCTGCTCAAGTATCTGCTCAAGATTGTTAAAGAGCAAAATTTAGCAATTGCTTTGGTCTTAAAGGTAGGTTAAAAAATCAGTACTTCTCAAATTCAGTCACTTAGATGTATAGCCTAAGAAAACTTTGAAATAAATGTACTCACACCACTTACATGTGGCTATAATCTTTCATTAAATTCTCTTTATGAAAGTACAAATACAGGTATGAATATGTTGAGAATTTCAACTTGAAAAGCATACGCACACTAGGTATAATATTCACTATGATTGTAAAATACTGTAACTTTTTTAAGTGTTTACACATATATCATCAGAAATAGCCATTTATACATGTTTGCATCTCTTTAAACATAATTGGGTGCATCGTGGGTATAGTTTTGCACAAAGTTGTCAGCACTAACATGCAATTTGCACTCTTGCATACTAATATATATATATATGTATCTTAATGCTTGGAATATTTTTTGTATTTTACTCTAGAAGAACTCTCTATTCCAAGAAATTATAAAAGTTTACCTTCTGCTGACAAAGCTTTGAAATTTTGAGATATAATAAAGGAGAAAATAAAAGGCACCTCAATCACAGTAAGAAATGACCAAAATGATCATGCAATGGATTTTTACATCTTCCTTTTGCACACCTAATATGTACCTTAAAAAAATAATATCCCCTTCTACTTAAGAGTCTTACACCAAATTTTCCTCATCTGTAGCTGTAATGTTTTTTAAATATTATTAAGTATTCTTTCAAATACAGACATGTTTTAAATTTTTGCCTGTTTTTGCATTTCTATAAACAACCCACTTCTTTACAATGTACCTGCTACAACAGCCATGAATGAAGAAATGAAGCAAGGTCACTGGTAATGCCACCTCCAGCAGACAAAGACTTTTTATGTCGGTGCATCTTCAATCTTCTCTCTTGTTTTTGGTCCCCTCTGTTTGTGCGTGATCTCCTCTCCTAGTAGAAGCGCTAACCCTTCTTGGCTTGACTGGGTTTGACTTCTCCTCAATGCAGGTCTAGCTCCAAGTAATCTGAGTGCACCTGAAAGTTCCAACAAGCACATGGCTGAAGCCACCAGGCATTGTTCTGCCCTTTGCCCTCTGGCTCTGTTAACAAAAAGGAACCAGGCCCCCAGAGCTGGTGGATACCACGTGTTAGCCTTCCCCGGGCTCGGAGAAGCAGTACTTTGAAAGTTGCTTCCTCTAGTCCCGCCCACACTCAGAGGATATTAGGACTCCACCCCCGACTTCCTGTGTCTGGATTTCCCAGCAGTTGTAGATTTAAGTCTTCCCTCCCCACGGGCCAGCTCTTTCTGGGCCCTTCCTGAAGTAGCCTCCGGAAGAACTCAGAATCCAGCTCACTCTGGGACCGCACTATACCCCTACAGCATGGATTGTCCTAAAGATTTTTCGTCTCAAGAAGCCTTGGGGCTTTTTTCCAGAAATGTCCTCATGGTGGCAGTGTTGCCCCACGAGTTGTACCGACCACTGCCCAGCGCCCTGTTCTTCCGCCTGTCTAAAGTGGAAAAAAAAAGTGACCCAGAGACAAAGGCACCAAAAATGCGGCTGCCTTGCTCCTAGGCCAGTTCCAAGAAACCTGTTCCCACTGTTGGGCTTTTGCTTTCGGTTTCCATCTAAAATCAAACTGAGGCCTAAACCTACTCTCATCAGGGGTTTTTTCAGTTCAAGAATTCAATTTCCACCTACCAAGTCTTAGCAATTCTACTTTTTCTTCAGTCATCATTGTATCCCCAACATTTTCTTTTGGGACCCAGTTGTCTCCGAGTATCTCTGGGCAAACCTCAGGGGTCCAGGGCTAGTGGGAAAATAAAGTGGTTACACCTAAGGGCTTCGAGGACAGCAAATCTTGGCACCAATACATGTATGTACCTTTTGACCTGGCTTGCTTCCCAGGCTCCTTAGGAGTCCTACTCCATTTTCTGGCCTGGGCATTAGGTCTGAATGTTGAGGGAGAAGTTGCTATTTGTCTGGAACTCTAAAATATGTGCCTCGGTAGTTCTCAAGCTATACAGTGCCCATTTGGAGTGATACACATACTCAAATACGGATAAATTCCAGCCAGAGAAAACTGGTTTAGTCTCATAGTTTCATGAACTAAGATTAGACAACAGGAACCTTCTCAAGTCATTAGTATGGGAAGTGGCTTTCTATGACTTCGTTGTGTATGTGCATGTCACTTAGGAATTACTTTTACAGTACTTTTTCATAACTAAGACATGGTATTTACAAAGGGTTCCAAAAATCAAACTAAAGCAGAGAAATAATGAGAGACCTGGGGAGAATGAACCACAAGCCCTTGGTGCTGGCATGGTTGGGCTCACGTCCCGTTTTCTAAAATCTGGGTGTCATTTTCCTAACCTAACGAGAGGCTCCTGGGCCCGGGATTTAGCTCAGTGGTTTCGCCGCCTGCTGCGCAAGCACAAGGACCCGAGTTCGATCCCTGGTACCAAAAAAAAAAGAGGCTCCCAACAGTAAAATTTTTCTTGTTTGTTTGTTTATAAGATCTTTCATAAAATTTTTGAACATATATTCACATATATATCGATACATATTAATGTGTATGTTTATTTCTCTTAACACATAATTGAATGGATACTTAGGGTAATTTTGTACAAAACTTTCATCATTATATTATACAATTTCCATGTTCCCACACACTTATGAATTTGAAGAATTGAAACTTCTTTGCTGCAGGCAAAGTATTCATAAAGCCAAAAAATAAATGGTGGTTCAGTCCCCAATCCCAACAATAATGACTTTTTAAATGTCTTTCTCATCTATTAGTTATATATATGAAATATTTTTTTAAAATAATAATTTTCAAATTCCTTTGTACATTCAGTGTTCAAATATATTTTCTATATTCATTTAGCTAGAATATTTTCTAAATTTCATAATATATTTGAAATATTATTTTTAAAATTGAGTTTATTGGTACATTTTAGGTATACAATACAGTTACATTCACCATTGGGATCTTTACATGATGTATCTTGGTTCTTATTTTTCCCCCTTCCCCTGCCCTCCCTTCACCCCTTCCACCCTTCCCTATTTACAAAGACTTTGTTTCCATTTTTTTCTTTTCTCATATTTTTTCTTTTCCTTTCTTTCCTTTCCCCTACCCCTCCCAC